ATACGTTTGCACTGAACGGTGTGCTAGGCGTGCCGAACTGATGTTGCGGGCGAGCTTCATTGCCAAAGAGACTGCCACTCCTCTTGACCAAGGGTGTGTCAAGGTTGACAGTGCGGTCTGCTGCGGCAGGGGGGAAAGACTGGCGCTTGGATGGCGTGTCGGGCATGACATAGATGCCTCCTGCTGCTGGCTCATCCGCATTGCGGTTCTTCTTGGACAGAAGGCCGGTCGAGAAGGCGACAGGTGCCGGTGGCGCAATCTTGAATGGTGTGTCGAACGAGTCTTGCGTCGACTGCTCGCCATCTGGGGCATGTGGGCGCCCGATACCGATGGGAAGTGAGCGAGAGAAGTGTGGGTTGTTGGGCATCGGAGGCGGGGGGAATGCAGGGCCGCCCCATTGAACGGCTGGAGCCCGGGGAGGAGCCATTGGTGTGCCGCTCAGGCTGGATGAAGCAGAAGATGGTGTATGCGCGTGTGAGAGTGGGTGCGGCTGTGCTGCACCGGCTCCGCGAGGGAATGGCGTTGGCAAGCCCATGCGCCCGGCGTCAAAGGTAGACTTGCGGAAAGGCGTCTGGACGGGCGGTGTTTGGGTGGTTGAGTTAACGGTGCTGTCGAGGGACATGCGGTTGCGCGTCTTGGAGGCAGCCGGCCCAGGCATTGCGAACTCGCCATCGTTGCTCGGCTTCCGCGGGGTGTTGGATCGCTGTGATAGGGTCGACCTGCGCAGTGACGTTGTGCGGCGGACTGGTGATGTAGCACCCGAAATAGGTGAGCTGTTGAAGGAGAAGCCGTTCGTCATGTCGTTGTACAAGCGCGAGCTCTCATCGGCAGAGATGCGCGGTGCGGGGGACGGGTCGAATATGCTCTCGAAGTCGTTTCCGAGGCTCGACACGCCGTGCAGGCTCCGGCGCTTTGCCATGGGACTGGATCCGGGCGAACCGCTGAGGTTCATCAGTCCATCATTGCGCTTGAGCGGGCTTGACTTTGCTGGTGGCGCGGGCGACAGCTCGGGGCGGCGCGCAAACTCGAACTTGATGGGCTTGTCGTCGACTTCTAGTCGCTTGTCCATGTCCATGGTGTCCGGGGACTCTGCGCTTGGGCGTCGCGCGGGGATGTTTTCTTGGCCGGGCGAGTGTCGCGTAATGAAGGGCGTCGCGTTGCCCACGTCGGAGGTCTCGGCCAAGGCGCGTCGCCGGGGACTCTTGGAGTTGCTGTTGCGCGTGCGCGGCGATGACCGGAAAGGGCCTGAGCGTCGCAAGGAGAACTTCTTCTTGGCCGGTGCAGCTTGCGCTAGTGGTGACTCAGGGAAGTTGGCGATGGGGCTGGTGACCTTGTTCGCTTTGGGAGAGAATGCGCGCGCAATGGCGAGGGGCGAGATGGGAGAGCGGGGCGTGTCGGAGTTGCGGAGTTGGAAGCGCGACTGTTTGGAGGGTGAGCGCGACAGAGAGCGGCGGAGCTCCTGGAGGTGGGAGAAGTGGGTGCTGTCGAGTCGATAGCTGTGGGGTCCGGTTGGTGAGGGAAAGTGCATGGTGCCACATTCGCGACTGGGCGAATATCCGTAATCCATGGCTCGCGTAGTGGGAGCCGTCTGGAGTGAGTCGGGATGTTTTGGGATGAGACGGGCAGTGTTGACGTGATTTAGGCAGGCGCAGAGGGCATGGAGATGAGTGCAGTCTTCAGTCGATAGCGATGGCGCGGTAGTCCTGCTGGCGCGTGGTGGATGCGGACCGTGGTATGAATGCGTGGAATGTCGTCGGCAGGCGCGCGATGGGGTAGTGCTCGATGCTGGCCGGGTTCCGTGATTCCACCTTCAACAAGCAACGGCCAAAGTCCGGTGGTGCTCCATACAAGGCCTGGTGATGGAGGGTCCTGGTGGAGAAAGGATGGCTGGAGGTGGAGAGAGCGTGTTGATGTTGACGGCGTGTCGGAGGGTGATTTGCTGTGTCGTGTACTGGGGAAGCGAGGGCGCAGGCGTCGCGTGTTTACCTCCGCACGTTAGGCAAGTATAGTCGCAACACACGGCAGGCGCGTCACAGCGCGATGATGCAATGGCGAGGGGAGAGTGCAAGCGATCGAGCGATGGAGAGACCCTTCTTGCGCTCGATAGCGATCGGCTGGGAATGCAGTGGTATATGAGAAGAGACGCGTTCTCTCATGTGCAGGGTGTCTTTTCGCCGGGCGTGTGGCAGGAAAGTTGGGGCGTCGGGGCCCGTGCGTCCCAACCCGCCTCTTACTTCGTGACGCCCTGCAGCGAAGCCCGTTAGCCCTGCCTGCCAATCGAATCCACGTCTGCAGCACAAAGTGAAGCAGTCATAGAGGCGACCCGAGTAGGCTCTGCAAATTTAGACACGCGAAGCTCCACCGCTGCCAGCTCGCTGCACGTCTGTTGCACTGCGAGGCGCTGCTGCGGAGCTCTTGCCACGTTTAGGTGTGCGTGTTTACATGCCGTGTTTGTTGATCAACAAGCAGAATCAAAACAACACCAAATCCTCGCCACCACCGCATCTTCCCCAACCACAGTATCGGCACCAGGGCGCTCGAGCCACGCGTCGACCCATCCCCCCTTCTATGCCCAAATTAGCAAATCTTATCGTCTTCATGCCATCGGGTGGCCGAGTCGCGCGGAATAGGGGCTCCAGCTTTGCGCCCGCCTGCCACCAGTTCGGCGGCCCGCGTCACAATCTTAGCCCTCCCCATTATGATTGCCTCTGCAGCTCGCCTGCAGCCTCCCTATCGATTGCACGCATCTTCGCCTATTCAGCTATCGATAGGCTTTGCGAGTCGTAGGAAACATGTGCTTGTCCATATTGCTTTGCCTGCAGTTTCAGCTGGCTGCCTGAGCAAAGTTCATGGGCGTCGTCATTAGGATCCTTCCAGCTGATTCTGAGTATTGCCCAAGACGCGTCTTCGCGTTGTTTGCGTCAACAGCGCCGTACAACCGGACTCCCCTCCCTGGCTCGACTTTGTCCGATCGCACAGCTTGCTGCGATCGAGGGTTTTGCTCATGATGTTTGGTCTGCACCTAGCCATCCGTCCATCCCCATGGCGTCGGGATCGAGAGTCCTGGTTACACATGACGTAGTCTTGTGATCTCCCCCCAGCTTTCGATGTGAGAGCCATCCCGTGAACGCTGAGCGGATGAGCTATCGATATGATACGCGCTAAAACCTCGCAAGGGCTGTTGGTAAGTGGTTTTAGGAGGCGGACCGTGTGCCGCTCGATAGTCTCTTCGAGAGAAGCGTGCTCATGAGGCCTTCTTCGAGGCCACGCTTCGTGATGGTTGCAACTACTTCACCACTAATCTCCGGGAAGGTGCGGTAACGGATCGTACCTACTTCATCGATCAGACGTAAAAGCACGTGGACATCGTCCGTCACGCGGCAAGATCATCGCGTCATGGTGAAAAACAACTTCCTAATACCGCGAGTTCGCAAATCTGCATCATGTGGCCGCATCTGCGACCTCATTGTTATTCCACTAGAAAGATCCCCGCTAGCCTACCGTTCAACATACAGTACTGCAGGAACGCGCTCTGGATGCCATGTTTTCCTGTTTCATCATCGCCGTACCTGCCTTAGCCTCTCGCACGCTTCCCCCTTCTACGTCCACATAGTCATCTATCATTACTACCTTCCGACATCGGGATCACCCCATGCCCTCAATCTAGTAGGAAGTTCACAGAGTGGTCTGTGGAATGAACCTGAACACGCCTGAACACAAGATGTGCTGCAGCCTGCATCTTGACCAGTTCCGCAAGACGCGACATTGCATCGACAGAGTTTGGCTCGGTATTCAAAGGAGAAACGCGCTATGGGCATACAGCGACATGTCTTGCAGCCAGCCTTAGCCGCACCTGCAGCGGGCATCAGCCTTATGATACCCCAAGTTTGATGTTTCAACGCGTGTTTCAGATTCGCTACTTCGTGGCTCTGATTATTGTCAAGGCCATGTGGCTTGTCGCCCTGTTCAGTCACTGTGGTAACATCTGCTGGACTGTCGCCCTGTCTATGATTCCCATGGTAACTATTTCTAGTCGTCTCACTAGACTTGATGATATTGCGGGGAGATGAGTTGGCTTTTCAACAGGAGGTTCTCGGGGCCAGCATCACGACCGTGGATGGACGGCCACAAGGTAAGAACTTACGTCAAAAAACTTCAGCAATCAAGGTTCCACCCAGGAGCTTGCCTAAGGAAACTCACATTGCTTGCGCGTCAGAAAGCGGAGAAGAGAGTATCGGTCGGACTTGGCCCGGATATTAGAAGCCCAACATCGACAGCTGTCAAGAGTGGCGAACACAGGGTCCTCCCGTGGCAGCATCTTGGGATTCACAGGGTCTCGAGATGATCTGTTCCCACTGTTCATCCCGTCGCTAAGGTGACGCAAGATGTGCTGCCGTAGATGCCCAATGCTGCGCGTCTTCTTCGTATTGCGCATATTGCGGCCACTAGAAGATCCTTGGGGGCTATATTCGGGCATGGACCGTGTGGACTGTCTGTCCCCTTATCGTGGGCTCGTCGGGTAGAGTCAGGATGACGATGAAGTTCTGCTCGGACATCTTCGAGTAAGTCAGATAAGAAGTACTATGGTGTTGGTCAAGCCTGACACCGTGTGTTGTAATTTGTAACACAGTTTAACCGAAGGTTGCATTACAAATACTACCACGAACTTTGTTGAAAATCTGGAATAGTTGACAACTGCTATGGCTGTCTCGTGTTTCAGATCGAAATGACGAAAACCTGTCTAGCATTTGTCGCATGCGGGGTGAAAGGGTGAATTGATACACGTGCGATGCCTGCAAGGCTGTAGGCACCATGTCTACAGTAGCATTCATGATCACAGAGGAGTGCAGCGGTGATGTGAGGTATGAGTCTCCATAGCCGGATGGAAAAACTTTGTTCCCGTGGGTTGCCAGTCAATGGCGGGGTGAGTCAAATCAAAAAGTTGGCGGGGCATATATCTCGTCGCGCAGCCCACACGAGCACCACCGAACATCGCAACAATGGCCGACGAACAAGCTGCACAACAGCCACCGGCTGCCGAGACCAAGGACTTGCACACCGACCCAGTCACCGGCGAGAAAATCTCCAAGAGTGAACTGAAGCGTCGCCAGAAGCAGCGCGAGAAGGACGAGAAGAAGAAGGAGAAGGAGGCGTCGCTACCTGCGCGGCCCAAGAAGGAGAAGAAAGACGATGTCGAGGAATTGAACCCAAACGTGCGCATCGAACTTGCCTCTTTCAACTAATCTGGTTACTCACCAACTGCAGCAATATTTCGAGATCCGGTCTAACAAGATCAACGCTCTCCGCGCCTCCAAGCAACCCAACCCGTACCCGCACAAGTTCCACACCAACTACAAGCTCGCCGACTATGTTCGCGACTACTCGCACCTCAAGAAGGGAGAGACTGAGCCCGACAAGGAGATTCGCATCGGTCTCCGCGTCATGACACAGCGCTCTGCCTCCAACGCGCTGCACTTCTACGTTTGTACGTATACTGGATACACCGATATCCTATAGCTGATAATGTCTAGGCAAGGCTGAGGGTGTCAACATCCAGGTCATGTGTCAATTGCAGGAAGCCAAGGCCGACGTACCCTTCGAGAAGCAGCATGAGAACATCCAGCGTGGAGACATCATCGGTGTCATCGGATACCCAGGTCGCACCAGCCCCAAGAAGGGTGGTGAGGGTGAGCTGAGCATCTTCGCGCGCGAGGTGATCCTTCTCACCCCCTGCTTGAGGATGTTGCCGACGGAGCACTTGTGAGTCCACCTCAGAACTTCAGCAATGGTGATACTAATACTACACAGTGGCTACAAGGACCAGGAGCAACGCCACCGCAACCGATTCCTCGATCTCATCATGAACGACTCAACACGCAACACCTTCATCACCCGGAGCAGGATTATCAAGGCTGTTCGCAAGTACCTCGACGAACGGGACTTTCTGGAAGTTCAGACGCCTATGATGAACAAGATTGCTGGTGGTGCGACTGCGCGACCATTCAAGACATACCACAACGAACTCGACATGGAGCTTTACATGCGTATCGCGCCCGAGCTATACCTCAAGGAGCTTGTAGTTGGAGGTCTGGAGAGGGTATACGAGATCGGCCGTCAATTCCGTAACGAGGGTATCGATCTTACCCACAACCCCGAGTTCACCACCTGCGAATTCTACATGGCATACGCCGACTACAACGACGTCCTGAACATGACCGAGGAGCTCGTCAGCGAGCTGGTCAAGGAGGTCACAGGCGGATACGAGACCGTCTACCACACTCAGAGCGGCGAGGTCTACAACGTCAACTGGGCAAGGCCATGGAGGCGAGTCGAGATGATCCCGGCATTGGAGGAGGCCACCGGCGAGAAGTTCCCACCAGCGGATCAACTACACACTGCCGAGACCAACGAGTTCCTCAAGAATGTACTCAAGAAGGTCAAGGTCGACTGCTCAGAACCTCGCACCAACTCAAGAATGATTGACAAGTTGGTTGGTGAGTTCATCGAGGAGACTGCTATCAACCCTACATTCATTATCGGTCACCCCGAGGTCATGTCGCCACTTGCTAAATACCACCGCGATATCCCTGGTCTCTGCGAACGTTTCGAGGCCTTTGTATGCAAGAAGGAGATCTGCAACGCTTATACTGAGCTTAACGACCCCTTCGATCAGCGTCTGCGATTCGTAAGTTCCAGATACTTGCATTGAGGAGACGCATATTGACATGTACATAGGAAGAGCAAGCGAACCAGAAGGCGGCTGGTGACGACGAAGCACAGCTCATCGACGAGACCTTCTGTCAGTCGCTCGAGTACGGTCTGCCACCCACCGGTGGTTGGGGTATGGGCATCGACCGTCTAGTCATGTTCTTGACCGACCACTACTCCATCAAGGAGGTGCTCACCTTTCCCTTCATGAAGGACATTATCGAGGTCAAGACGCCCGCAGCGGAGGTCGTCGATGTAACGCCCAAGCCCACTGAGGGCATTCGTAAGTCCATCTTAGTCTGATGTAATTGAAGTTTGCTAATGCAATTCAGCACACAAATAGTTTCAACGTAGCATTACTGGCGTATGGGGTGGTTTGGCAATCATAGGGATGGATACGGATCATGAGCCATGTTTCACGAATGTGTCAGAGCTAGACAACTGAATATGAAAACATGAATGACTCTGGGACGGACGAAGAAACTCGAATTCCGAGTTGACAGTGTTCTCGCGATGCACCCCAGAGATACATACCAAGTCACTTTCTGCGAACGCTTTGCTCGGAATACAGAGAATACCTTTGGGTGATTTGCGACGTGAAGGACAACTCCAAGAGGAGAAAGAGCCTATTCGTATATAATAGGCACCCTCTTGGACGAGTGCAGGCATGGTCGCGTATTTTATTCGTGACGAGAGACCGGGGCCGATTTCTGAGTATAACAAGACAGTGTGATCGCGTGCTGTATGTGGACAATGGGTTTCAGTTTTCGGCTCCCCGCCCGCGGGCCCTGCCGCAACGTTTAATGCCCGAACCGTGAACCGCGACACCATTGCCGCAACATTATCGGCGTACGTGAACTTGTGCCGAGCGGGAGGCCTATGAATAGATTGGCAGCTTATATATGATACTCGAATCGAATACTGATGCATCTTCATCTCAACTGTCCACCTTCCGTCAACGCGTTGTTACATCTCCGGATACAGGTTGCGTGCGTCGTACTAAGAAGTTAGATATACACTATATTGAGGGAATACTGTATCAAATATGGCGGCACCAGGGGGCAAGTTTTTCATCCAGGAGAAGCTGAAGACGCCGGCGAAGCACCATGAGTCTTATGAGCAGCTGTGGGAGACGAAGTGGAAGAAGCCTGTATGTTCATCACAAGTCACTCACTCAAACTACACATACAAGACCGCAACTATATGATTTCAAACCCACTGATTCTTGATAGGCAGAAATGGGCGTCTACCCCTTCATGTTCGGCACCGCCTCCGACTTCGAGCCGATAGTAAAAGAGATGGTATCCAAAGACATGAAAGAGCCCTACAATTGGGACGAATACGCCAAAATTTACTTCCCACAGGCCGAAAAGCTCAAGTCAATAGCCGAAGAAGCCGAAAAGAATGGCGAAAAAGAGAAAGCATCAGAGTACTACCTACGCTCCAGCGCCGTGTACCGCATCAGCCGCTTCCCAGCGCCACGCAGCGAAGTCCAGCGCGAAGCCTGGAAACTAGGCAAGGAAGTGTGCATCAAAGGCCTGGGAATGCGGGAACACCCTGTCCACGAAGTCATGATCCCATACAAACACCGCAACCAAGACGAAGGCGAACACATACCCGTGTACCACCTCGTCCCTGAAAGCGCATCGAAAGAAAACCCCGTACCCACCCTCATCATCTTCACCGGACTAGACGGGTACCGCACCGAACTAGCCGTATGGATGGAAGGCTGGCGGCGTGTCGGCGTCGCAACCATCGTCCTCGAGATACCCGGCACAGGCGACTGTCCGGCCACGGCGTCCGACCCAACGTCTCCAGACCGTCTGTACAGCTCGCTCTTCGACTGGGTAGCCACGCAACCGCGTCTCGATGCAAAGAAAATCGCCATCTGGGCCTTCAGCACAGGCGGCTACTACGCCATGCGCGTTGCGCACACGCACGCTTCTAAACTCGCGGGCGTTGTCGCCCTCGGCGGCGGCTGCCACCATATGTTCTCCCCCGAATGGCTGGACAATGTAAATCACCTCGAGTACCCCTTCGATCTTGCCAACACACTGGCCTACAAATGGGGCTACGGCAACGACGTCGAGACCTTCAAAAAGGAGGCCATGAGCAAGTTCTCGTTGCTGAACGATGGCACGCTGGATAAGCAGGAGTGTGCGAGGTTGCTGCTGGTGAATGGGACTGACGATGAGATTTTCCCGATCGATGATTATTATCTTGCGTTGATGCATGGGGCGCCGAAGGAAGCGCGGTTTGTGGAGGGGTTCAAGCATATGGGCGAGCCGGAGAGCTTTTTTGTTATTATCAAGTGGCTGTATAAGTTGTTTAGCTTACAGGCGGAGGTGGGGACGATTATGGCTACGTTGCCATTTAAGCCGAAGTACTAAGTGGAGGGGTGGATAGCGAAAGTCGTTTAATGAGGGATACGAAACCTGGAGAATGCAGATGATGTCTTCTTTTCATTCCATGAACATCCTGTTACACTCTTTTGGTAGACAAGCGCTCCAAGTTCCCGGTGATTCCTTGTCCCTCATCGTCCACCGAGAGACTCCCGAGGTCATCACATACACGAAATGCTTTTTGCGAGACCACCCAAGAGATACAAAATTCGAACACAAATGCCACCAAGTAAATACCCAAGCAACAGCGAGCGCGCAGAATCATGTCGTAGTCGTCGTCGTTTTTAGGAAAGAACACACATTTGTAGATTCGTATAGCCTTTTGGTGACAACCCCAAAGCAGGTAGGTGGATGAGGAAGGAGGATGTACCTAGGTATGCCCAGAGAAAAGGACCTCTTTTATACCCCAGCTCGCATATCTCCTTCCGCACTCATGCTACATGCTATGTGAATTTTCGGTTACCGCCTCTTCTTACTCAATCTCCATGCCCTGTTTCTGAGCTTCATTGATCTTGAGCGCCAGAGCGGATAGGGACGGCACATCGGTTCTGATCTCAGAATTTTCGAAGCCGAATGCTCACAGAGAAACATCTTCTCGTATCTGTTGATCTTTTGAAAGGCAGACCATTGCTCATGCTGCGCAATTGTGTTCTTTTCGATACCGAAAGCTCAAAGAAAGACATGTCAAAGTAGGCTTCGGTTTTGAGAGAAACAGACATATTGAGGTCTTCAATTGTTTTTGGAAAGGGTAAGAGCAGAAGGCTGGAATGTAGACACGAAGTCGAAAGACGAAGACCTGGGTACTCTTCATAGTGATGTATGCACTTTAAGCGCTTCCCAGACATGCGTGCTTTCTCGGCAACATTGACAAGAAGAGGCAGGCGGATACTGCGTAGGTAGCGTCGCGCTTTCTCAGGGCGGGAAACAACATGTCTTCTGTGCAGGGCGGCTTTGAGTTATGCCAGCGTAGTGTCCAGATGCAGACATGCGCCATCGATCTGGTATTTTTGGCGCAACTGAAGCAGGCAAGGCTGACCATGGTCTCGCCTCCTGTGCTTTTTGGAAACAGCGGAAGAGACATGGGTTATGCTCTCGTGATTTTTTTTATGGAAAAAGAGTAACGTGTGACAGAGGAGACATGAAGCAGGGCCTTGGGCGAGAGCAATTTATACCTTCCGCCCATGCGCGAGACAACATGTGCATGCAATCCCTTCTTTCGGTGTCACTGGTTTAAGCCATCGGATGGCTCCTTGCAACGGTTTACAGCATCAGTCAAAAGTACAACAATACCCATTATTATGTACACTTTTTTTGTACACGTAACGCCAATAATGCATCACTCCCATCTTTCCCGTCACCTTCGAAACCGTCCATCCATCAGTCGTGACCACTTCAAAACGTCGAACCCCATCAGCTATGTATTTGTTCCGATATCCCAACACTCTCACCCCTTGATATCACCCTTCAACCCACCATCAACACCACCCTTGCCGAATCTGTATCCGAAACTGACGGCAACAGCGCAGAACAGTCCGAAGCAGAGCAGCGTAGGTCCCCAGCGATCGTGGTACGTAACCGCTCTCCTTTCCTTGATCTTGTTCACTCTCCACAGGTACAAGCCTGCACTGTAGCAGAGCGCGATACAGGCGATGATGGTAAACGCCCACGCAGCCGCAAAAGCAAGGGGGTCACCAAAGTTTAGCAGTGTAGCCGCAATGGAACCGATGAGGATGGAGAATTCGAGCCAGGAGAGGAAAGTGCGCTCGGTGGCTAGTTGGACTTTGGGTTCGACGCGGACGGGGACGTGGATGCCTGATATTATGTTAGTTCGGGCTGGCAGTATGAGATGATTGGATTAACTTACGCTTGCCCTTGGGAGCCTTGAACCTCTTCACCTCCCCCTTTTGCTTCCATGAGGGTACACCAAGGGAGAAACCTCCCTCACCAACGTCGGTAGGAGTTGGCTTGGGGATAACCGTGGCGACTGTCGAAAGCAATGTTGAGCCCACGTTGGTCGCAGTGCGTTCTACCCATTTCCGCGCATAGCGGAGACCTCCCTGCTTCTTGGCTGCTTCGTACTCCTCATCTTCGTCGTCGCTGTCAGAATCGTAGATGGGGTAATCTTCGTCGCGAGTGCGTCCTGCGGCGACACGCTCTTCAATGTCCAGCGCATTGGGATCGTTGCCATTCGTAAGAGTGCCGTAGTCGCGGGTTCTTTCCATCTCGTTCTGCTCCATGACATCCCTTGCCTCGCGCAGCCGCCTTAGTCGGTCATCGTCCTCATTGCCGTTCGCACCAGGAAGACCCATGACGGCATCTTCGTCTTCGCTGTCATCGTCATCGAGGTTACCGCTGGTGCTGATGTCGTTGCTCGCTCCGGGGCGCTCAATACCAAACCTGTGACTAACAGGCTTGCGAATGTCGACATCCATCTGCGGGTACCAGTATGGGATCAAGTTGATGCGCTTGGGATTCAGCGTGGCTGTGCCGTGGATGTACTTGGAAAACTTGGGCACAGCTTCGACAAGATGGGAAGACGTGAGGTCGCGAATCCACTGCGGTGGCTCTCCTCCAGCTTGTGTCTGAAGCTTGACCTCGAGCACAGCATACGGGAAAAGCTCCTTGTCCTCCTTAGGCAACTGCTTGAATGGCCAGTCTACACCAATGTCCATGCGACGCCAGTTGTCGCCAGCACGCCTCTTGCCGTCCAGGTTGTCTTCGCGGGTCATGGTAAGCTCCGTGTCGAGGGAGATACGAACGCGAGCATCGCCGGGAAGTTGGAAAGCGGTGCGGTGGTAGAAGGAGCGTGTAACGGGTTCGAGCTTGCGGGTAAGTACGCGGTACTGGATCTCTCGGGCCAGCTGCTCGTCAGAAGCGATGTCCTTCTCAGGCCTCTTCTGCTCCCTGCGCTCCTTCTCGAAGATCTGCTCGGGCCTGAGCTCACCGCGGAGGTATGCGTTGACGTTCTTCTCCTTAAGCTTGAAACGCGCCTTGACAGACTCTTCGCCAGTCCAGTCCTCGCGATGCGTCTTACGCTCAATGAAGATAGTGTCGCTCGACATGCCTCCATACCATCGCAGACGTATAGCTTCAGCACCCTCGGTCTTCTTCAGACGGCCCTGGTATAGCTCCCATGTTTCGGTGTTGTCGAAGTAAATGGATGTGATGGCAGAGTCTTCCTCGTTGAACTCCTTGTTGGGGTTGAACACAAGCACAGGCAGGTGCTTGAGGACGATGAGCTTCAGCTCCAGAATGTTATCCGGGTGCACCCAGTACTTGGTCGTCTGGCGCACGAAGTTCTGTTGCTTTCCTCCAGCGGATGCATCGCCCTTGACCGGGTTTCCTCGCGTGCGGACAATGTCGTAGAGTCTCGAGAGCTTGACAACGTAGGAGTCGTAGTTGTCCTGGAAGAAGGGCTTGCGCTTCAGACGAGCGGCGAAGACGGGCTTGAGGAACCAGCTGGTGTTTTTCTACACTCAATTAGCTCTGATTCAATGCGAACTATGCAATACATACGTCGTGCTTCTTGATGATCTTCTGGAAGCCCGTGTAGTTGAGCTGGGTAAACTTGGCGAGATCGTGGACGTCGGCGATAATGTCGCTCAGGTCCTCCTCGAGCAGATCGAAGTCTTCCTCGTAGTTGGCGGCGTTCTGGGGGTCCTGCTGGGCGCGCGCGACGGCGTCGTTGACTTCCTTCTCGGACGCTGCTATGCGACGAATAATCTCCTCGGCCTTGACGCGCTGGAACGTGTAGACCTTGTCGAGCTCCTTCTCGAGCTGCTCGACGAAGCTCTGCTCCGACTTCTCATCCCAGATGTGATGGACGCGTAGAGAATTCTTAAGGCCCTCGTAGTCGATGTAGTAGAAGATCCACTCCTTGTTGAGCGACTGCTTGAGTTGCTGACCGAACCTGGATACGCGCATTAGTTTCCGTTGACATCACCCGCCGTGCGACGATTGGAGGGCGCATGCGCGGGTGCATTGCTGGGATTACGAACCTCATGCTGGGCGAGCTGCGGGCAATTGCAGACTCAAAGGCGTTCAACTGCGCGATTGAATGGGAGTGATAGCAATATGGGCTCGCGGCGGAAGCTTCAGAAGTCGATGCAGGGCCCCAGCGCGCTGAGACCGGGCCCAAGAGTGAAGCTCCCCGCTTGCATGTGCAGGCCTGGTGGGCCTTCGTGTGCTAGTGCCGTCTGGACGAGCCGTAGATGGGTCTGCCGTTGCGCCCAGCCATTTAGAAGGTCCGATGCCACCCACGTGTATACAAACAATGCAGGCAGTGTCTTCCTTCGCTGCAACACGGAGAGAAAAGCTTTACGTCTCTTCCCTGTTGGGTCAGGTCGCTCCTGCGAACTTTGACAGGCATATGCGCCAGAAGCGAATCAAACGTGTGATGACGTTGGTTTCTCGACAACCTACCCTTGCCGCGGTTCATTCCTCGGCGCTGAAAAGCACTCATTACATAGGGGTCTCTTGTATCTTCACGATTTAGGCCCATGCATGTTAAGATAGCAGCTAAAGATCATGGTTGTCTTATTAAGAGCTACACACTACCGACTTGGAGTGGTGCAACATACTTTCGCTCCTACTCTACAGCGACAGACAACATTAGGACAAATGAAACCAAAACAATGTAACTCCGTCCAGCGCCGAGCTCGTTGGGTATCGCGTAATGATAGGGAGAAAACGTATAGTCGTGTAGCGAGCGTGCAGTCATGTGAAGGCTGAGCGTTACTGTCAACGCAAGAGATGTCAGACATCCATCGCCCAGCCGCCTGTTCCAACGGCATCCAGCTCAGTCCTGCGGCGCACCTAGGCCTCGTCACTGTGCACCGCTTCTCTAGGAAACGAGTTGACGTGCTGGCTGGACTCTGGACTGTTGTTTTTGCTCGCCTCAGGCGACAAGGTATGCGAGCGCGAGACGATGTAAAGGTCGTCGTAGCTGCCCAATATCATGTGTTTCCACTTGGCGAGCGTGGGCAGTC